CGACGCCCGACCCAATGACCCATGTTCTGACCCAACTGGGCAGCTTGAGTTGCGAAAAAAACGATACTCTTTGCTCTCCCGTCCCCATCCTCGAACGCATCCACCGCAACCGCGCTGCCGCGCTTGCACCGCTGCACCACGACCGCGTCGTCACGCCCACAACGTCGAGCCATGCTCCCCCGCGCCCGCACAGTCGCTGCCACCTCGTCACGCGAGGCCGCACCTGCCCAACCGTCGCCGCCACCTCCACTGTGGGTGCCGCTCACTAGGGGCAGCACCCCCGCCCGCCCGCTGCCATCCTCCTTCTCCACCGCGACCGCATAGCCAGATCCTGCTGTGCAGTGTTCCGTTCGCCTGCTCACCAGGTTTCGCTGAAAAACGCATGTTGTAAGCGTATGTTTCATATGTTTTATAGGTATGTTGCAAGTGTTTCTTATGGATATTGCAAAAGTAGATCGGGATATTGCACATATTGCAATGGCTATATACGTATGTTGCAAGCGTCTCTTTTTTTTTCCTCAGAAGTATGCTGCAAGTGTGTTTATTTTGATATTGTATATGTTTCACACGTATGTTGCAAGTATTTTATTTGGATGTTTCATATGTTTACAATGACTTTTCAAGTGTTTTCAGGTTTTTCTGCAACTGTTTCAGATGCATGTTTCGTCTGTCTTCAGACGTATGTTGACAATGTTTCATCTGGATGTTTTAAAAGTAGATCAGTTATTGCACATATTGTAATGACACCGGTGGCTGTCGGACAACGGCCTACCGCAAGGCTTCGGCTTCTACCTTGCGCCTTCCTTGCGCGGCGCGCCTCGTCCTCTCCCTCCCCTCCATTCCCTTCCCTTCCCTTCCCTCCATCTGGTTGCAGCGGTTCGAGCTCGGCGGGGAAACGGAGGGGCGGCCCCGTGTGTGGGCGGGCGGCGTGGGCAGGGCGAGTCGTCCAGACAACGCAGATTCCGAGCAGGCGAGGCACACTGCACGAAGCAAGAGCGAGAAACGGAGAGTAGCTGAGGCGTCTGGGCACGCGCGTTCGTCCTAACGTGGCGCTAGCACTTTGCTTAAATAAAAAGTCCATTATACACCCAACCGTGTCACGCTAATGTCATTCAGTAGCACCGGCCAGCGCCAGTGCAATACAAAAACGTTACGCGTCATCGGTAGGCGTAAACTACTACTCGTGGTCGCAGCGGACGAGGCGGCCGCCTTTGCTGCAGAGCCCCTGCTCGCCGGCGGTGGCCTCCACGGCCTCGCCGTAGCTGTACCGAAGCGGCATCCTCCCCAGCAGGCGGTGGAACTCGGTGATGCAGCGCCCTCTCTTCTCCCAGTGGCCCAGCCCGCCCGTGGCGCTGAGCCCCACGTCCCTGACCCCGCCTCGCCCCCCTCCGGCGGCGGCGTCGTTCCTGGGGTCGCCCCAGTCCCTGACGCCGCCGGCCTCCACGAGCACGGGCCCGGCGCCGGACGCCTCGGCGGCGACGAAGTTCATGAGGATGTCCTCGCAGTTGCGCTCCCGGTCCACCACGGCGCGCGCGGCCGCCAGCTCCGGCGAGCACGAGTACGTCCGCAGGAGGTCGGTCCCGAGGAGCATGAGCTTGGTCAGCACCATGGAGTACCGCCCCGGCTGCGCCGCCGTGTACGCCCACCTCCCGCGGGCCAGGTCCAGGTGGTGCGACCGCGGGAAGAAACCGACCAGGGGCCCCGGCCCCGCCGCCGGCCGCTGGTGCTGCTGCCAGGTGGCGAAGGCGAAGGACAGCGCCGCCGCGTCGGGGAGCACGTCGTCGTCGGCCATGGCCACGGCGGCGGTGCGCACGTCGGAGGGCCGCGGGAGGAAGCGCGAGTTGAGGGACGCCGAGGCGGCGCGGCGGACCGCGACGCGGGGCGGGAACCCGATCCCGCCGCGGCCACGGAGGAGGAGGCGGTCCGGCGTGGAGGGGTTGCACCAGAGCAAGACCACGGCCAGGACCAGCGGGTGCTCGGCGTAGGCACCCGCGATGGCGCGGAGCAGCGGGAGGCGACGCTCCGAGTAGCCCGTGAGGATCACCGTCAGGCGGTCCGCACGGAGCCGGGCCGCGTCCGTGCGGTTCGCCGCGGCGCAGGCGGCATGCTCCTCGCCCTCGCTCCTGGCGGCGACGGCTACGCAGGCAAGCTCCACGAGGAGGAGGAGGATGAGGAGCTGGTACGAGCGCGGCGGCATGGACGTTGGACGGCGACGCGGCGGCGAGATCCGCTGGAAGCTTGGGTCTGTTGCTTGTTGACTCTCCAAGTGCCTCGCAGGTCGGCGAGGTCGCAGGACAAGTACCGGAGCCAAATCCTGTGTGGGCCCAGGGCCACGCTGAAGTTGAGCCGTTGACTGTGCATGAGGGAGCACGTCTGGAGCGCCGATCCGAGGTGGATTCGCCACAGGGGGAGAAGGGAGTGGGCTGCTTTCCTGAACTGAAAACAGAGAACAAGGGGAAAGAAAAGGTTTTCTTTTTAAACAAAGCTATAACAAGTTTTTTCAAAAGGTTTTTCAACTAATTAAGTTCGAAAACTTCTCAAACTTGAATTTGAAGTTTGACCCGTTCCAAACTTATTTTGAAACCCTTTTACAGTATATTTTGAGAAATCATTTAAAAAAAACTCTTCTAAAATCTCTTTAAATTTACTTTTTAAACGGTCATTTTAGAACTATTCTGAAACCAAATTTTAGAGCCAAAACAACTATGTGTGGCCCTTTTGTTTTTATAACAAAAGTGTCAAATATAGTTTGGAATTTATTTATTCTTGAGACCTAAGATAAACTTTTGCAAACTCGTTAGAAATTATTACAAACATGATGCCCAAAATAGATTTTGCAAACTGAAAGGAGACTTTATTTTAAGAAAGGTTTTTGGAACTTTATTCTTTTGAAAGAAACCGATTCATGGCTTAATTGATTTTTGTAACTTGTTTTTCACATAATAAGAATTATGCAACCAACATGAATGCAACAAAAACACTTTCATAACTTATAATTAACTGATTTGAAAATAATGTATCTTTCCTTTACTAAAAATTCAACTTACTAACTAATTGTTGGCAAAATTTAGAAAATTGTTAGAGCATCTCCAAGAGTTCCCAAGAATTTTTTTTTCCAAAATCATGAGTTTTCTAACTCACCCAAAAGTATCGTGAGGAATAAATAAGATCGTCTCAAATTGAGTCATAGAATTAAATGTACTCTCAAAATCAAGAGCGCCACAGAAGCCACACCATTGGAAAACTCTCAAGGCACGCCCAGTCGATGTACTGAGCCTCGTGCATCGGCCGTTGGTCGAAGTCCCCCCGAACAAGTCATATTGTGTTCCCTTTTCTTTTCGCACCCTTCTGTTTTCTTAAGGTACCAGTGCTCCAACATGGTAGAATCAGAGCTGCACTAGAAGATTTTGTGATTCATTCCACATGCAGAGGATGACAATGGCTACAATCAGATATCAACGGCAACCAATGTGAAAGGTACATTTTCAAGTTCAGAAATTAAAGCACCACTCCGTCCAATATCAACAAAGTCATAACTTCAAAGGCATTGAATATAAAGTTCATCGTATTCTTACCACGCCGCAATTTAAAACATTGTATCTAATTATCTATTTTGTCCAGAACAAGGTCTATCAATCAAAGTTGCAAGGTGAAAATAGAAGTGACAACAAAACCCCGCGACGCAGGTTAACTCATTTATCTTAGCTTCTCAGGTTTCATCGGAACATACAGACGTATATTAGCTACTTTCTACTCACCAGTTTACTACAGGCAAAGAAGGGGAAGTGCAGCCTAAACTACAAGCTCTTTGGTATTCACAGGGAACGTAAATAATCTCTATTACATTGCAATGCTTTTGGAAAGGACAAGCCTAGCGCTGGGACGTTTGGCCCTGGTCCGTGTCTGAACACAGCTCCCGTTTGACGCACCCGTCGCACCCCGTCCTGTCCCCTTGCATAACAAAAGTGTGTCCGCCGCACCCGCGTAACAGGGGAGCCCGCCCACCACTCCCGTGTCACTCCGAGGGTCCCATCCTCGTTGGTCGTTCTCCACAGCCAGCTTCTACATCTTCTCACGATGTGCCACAAGCTTCTGCTCTAGGACCTCCAGTCGGGGTAGTGGAGACAACATGTCGTAGGGGAACAGGCCGCGTATGCCAGCGCAGACATGACCCGCGCGTCCTCTGGTGGAGCTATGTCGCCAACTTACCGGTCGACGCCGCCATGGCTCTCACGCTAGCTCTCTCTTCATCGCTCGACAACCCTACATCTAGATCTACTTTGACAACATTCAGATAAAACAAATACAACATATAGATGGAACATTTGGAATATACACTTGCAACATATCCATTGCAACATCCAGATAAAGCACTTGCAACATTCGTATGAAACAGGTGAAACTTTTGAACAAACTCTTGCAACATACATGTATAGCTGTTGCAACATGTGCAACATCTGGATCTACCTTTACAACAACCATGTGAAACACTTGTAATATATCTCTAAAACATGTGAAGCGTACGTTTGCAACACACGTTTTCAGCACAACATAGCGCGGCGAACTGACGAGGTGGAGGCGGCCGTGGCAGGCAGATGGAGGCACCCCGGTGCAGTGGAGGCGGTCACGGCAGGTAGATGAAGCGGCTACGTCGGGTGGAACGAGTCCGCGCGGCACAGTGGAGGCGGCGAATCGTCCGAGCGGGCGGGGGCAGGCAGATAGAGACGACCGTAGTAGTCAGGGCGCGCGACACGGGCGGGCGTGAATCCACGCGGGCGAGGGCAGGCACACCCTGTTTTCAGCAGATGCGTATATCAGTTGCTACACAATATTTGTTAGTGCAACTTATGATATTATCTCTATCCTACTGTATGTGATGTAACACAAAAGGCTTTACATTGAGCTGAAAAATGATGCTATCAGCCTTGAAGTTGACTCTTTGACCGTGCATGCGGGAGAACGTGTGGCAGCGGTTATCCGTGGTGGATTCGCGTGGGGCCATGGCGTCAGACACCGTTAGGCTTCCTTCCACTCGCTGTCGCTGGTTTATTATCCACAAAAGGAGGAGTGGTGGCGAGGGTGCCGCAGCCCCACCACAGGCACAGCTCCTGCCGTCCTGCGGGATGGCGCAGTGCAGCAGCGTCGCCGCGAGGCCGGACCAGCGGATTGGGCCATGCCGCTGCAGCTCGCCGCTGCCACCGTTCCGGGCGGCGCTGCCGCGGGGCAGGCGTGCGGAGAGGAACGGCAGGATCGGCTGCACCTCCGTCCCACGGGAACTCGGCACGGCCGCGGAGGCGGAGCTGCCGCCGGTGGTCGTCGAGGGCACCGAGGTTAGTGATGATCGATCTCAGCACCGTTCTTTCTAGATGCTGCTGGCGCTGCACGGGCATACGTAAGCTATGTGTCGTCTCGCGAATTGTTCCAAGGAAGAAGCTGTAGCGTGTGAAGAGTGCGACGGCATGGGGTGGATGCTCTGCGACTTCTGCAAGGGGAAGAAGAACAACGTCAAGTCGGAGGGCACCCGGGTGTACCGCCGTTGCCCAACGTGCAAGGCGGTCAGCTCTCTTGCGGTCTTTCGCATGCAGAATCTTTCTGAATTCTGATGCAGAATCTTTCTGAATTCTGATGAAAATTCCCTGTCGCATGCATGCAGGCGGGCTTCATCCTGTGCCCAAGATGTAGGGTGTACAAGTGCATCACCTTCCCCGAGAGCGATGAATCGTGAGCGTCTCATGGTGGTCGCACTTGTGGGATGCAGATCATGTCTGCAAAAGAAATCTGTGTGAATTACTATTGTTATATATTCTGACCATGTTTAAAGGACAATTATTGGATCCATTCGGCTTACCTTATAATCCGCACTATTCAGCTTGTTTTTTCAGACAGAACAATGTTTTTCTCTCACAATAATTCAGTCAGAACAGTGTTTTTTAGCCAATTCAGCCAAGTTTCAACAAGCCGAACATCTGTGTACCTATCAGTTTCAATTTCACATAGATGCTTGCTCTTGTTATAGATTGGTTCTAACAAGACCACAATGTTTACACATGCATCCGTGTACTCTTTTTTCTATCATTTTGTTTTTGGGAAACACCAATGGGGTGAGCTTCCAATCTAAATGATTTGTCATTGATCCCGGCTAGCCAGTGATGGATCGTAAGGAACACCAAAATGAAGTTAGGAGGGCCAGTAATGACCATAGCACGTTGCTCTAGTCAGCTCAGCAGGCCAGTAGCGCTCGCGATGCTTGTTTCTATAGTTTCCAGAAGGTGAGCAAAAGCATGGTCGAGAGTAGCCTTGTTAATAGGTTTAGACCCACCCTTTACCCTCTCTCTCTAAAAAACAACCCCACCCTTTACCCAACCCAACCCATATCAAATTAAGGTCATGTTTAGTGGGCCCCCCGCACTGGCTTCACATGTGACTCCCTCACCAGAGCACAAGGAGCAAAGCCGCACCAGACACTCCCTGACTCTCTTACTGTCCTGGGTTCCTAACCGTCGGATATAATATGCGCTTGGTCTATATAATATTTAATAAATTAAATAAAATTCTATGGTACGTAATATTAAGCGTTGTATGGTTTAATACCATATAGGATTTTGACTGAACGTTGACTCAGCTTATATGGTTGGAAATTATTCATCTAAATTGAGAAGCTAAGAAAAGAATAAAAGCGTGCCACACGCGCGCGCGCCCCGCCGCCGCCGGCGGCCAGGCCGGGCCATGGGCGTGGGCCGGGGCGTGGCAGGCAGGCGGCGGGCGTGGAGGCGAATTGATTGCGTCAGTTACCGTCCTTTCCGCTTCCGATTCTTCGTCTCCTGGGATTCTCTGTTGCCTCTCTCCCTCCCCGTCGCACTCATATATCTGAGTCCTCCGTCAGTCCAGATCTCGGTCTTCCACAACCGCTCCCGAGAGAAACCACATCTCAGCAGCCTTCTGGCTTCCCCGTCCCGTACTACTTCTGCGCGCATGGAGCAGCGGGAGAGCAGGTGCCTCCGGAACCCTCGCCCGCTTGAGAACCTTGCACGGGGTGTGCGGCGATTAGGTTTTTGAGGAGCGATCCGCGACTGCTTGTCCACGTACGTCTTCTTCTTGGTGGTGATCGCCGCTCTTGGATCCCGTCCTCTTTCTGGTGATTGCCTGCGAAACATCAAGGCGTCTTCTTCCTGGTGGTGATCTGTTTATGGGACTGCATTACGAACATCGTCCTGTATCGACTGTGGTCCACGACTTTGAACAACGCACTATGTCGACTAGTGCGAATGGAGCCTCCGATGCCCTCGGCACGGGATCCTCCGCTGGGTACAGTCTAATCTTTCTGATTACTGTAATCTGTGCTTTTACTGTATCTATCTGTATGTCATCTCTGCATGCTGTAGCATTCGTTAGAGATATACACATGCACATATATGCCGTCACGAACCTGCTGATGTTATTTTTCTGGATTAAACTGATAATAAAAATACCTAAATTTCTAACAATCCACAAACCTAATGTTAGGCAATTTTCTGTTAGTAGTTTTGCTGCTGCTTTAAAGCCAAATAATTTTGATGGCAAGAATTTCATGATATGGCGTGCCAAGATGGTATTGTGGTTGACTGCGATGAACTGCTATCATGCCGCACAGGGAAAGCCTGAACAGTTTACTCCTGAGGAGGAGAAAAAGTTCTTGGCTGCCGATAACCTATTTCGAGGCACCGTGGTCAGTGCACTTCATCCCAAGTATGAGAAAAACTACATATCTTGTATATCAGGCAAAGAGTTATGGGATACTCTTGAGGTAAAGTTTGGAGTTTCTGATGCTGGCAGTGAGCTGTACCTTATGGAGCAGCTGTATGACTACAAAATAGTTAAAAACCATTCTGTGGTCGAACAGGCACATGAGATACATGCGCTAACAAAGGAACTAGAACATTTCCCATGTTTGTTGCCCGGTAAGTTTGTGGTCGGCGGTATAATCGCTAAGTTGCCACCTTTTTGGAGGGATTTTGCTACTTCTCTGAAACACAAGAGACAAGAGTTTAGCGTGGCTGAGGTTATTGGATCTCTTGATGTTGAGGAGAGGGCGAGAGCAAAAGATAACCGTGGAAAAGGAGTTGAGTCTTCTGCTGCCAATATGGTGCAGAAGAAAAACTCATTTGCATCTCGTAATAAAAAGAAGAAGAACATGCAAGAGAACAACAATGCAAAGCCTAAGCAAACTGCACAGTTCAAGAAGAAAAACAATAAGAAAGGTGGAGGCTGCTTTGTTTGTGGGAGTGATAAGAATTGGGCAAGTGCGTGTCCAGACCACAAATATAAGCAAGAAAAGAAATCAGCAAACATGGTAATTAGCGAGACTGGAGGAGGAACATCTGGGTATGGTAATTCTTTACCTTTTGTTCTCTCAGTTTGTCTTTCACCTGAGTGGTGGATGGACAGCGGTGCTAATATTCATGTGTGTGCTGATATTTTTTTGTTTACTTCCTATCAGATCGGCAGGACTGGAGCCTTGCTGATGGGAAACGGTTCGCATGCGCATGTTCTTGGTGCTGGTACGGTTGTTTTGAAGTGTACTTCGGGAAAGACGGTGCTATTAAAGAACATGCAACATGTGCTCTCCATCAAGAAGAATCTTGTTAGCGCTTCTCAGATGTGTCGCGATGGCTTCAAAATTGTACTTGAGTCCAATAAATATGTTGTGTCGAGACATGGAACATTTGTTGGAAAAGGTTATGATTGCGGAGGCTTGTTCCACCTATCTTTGCTTGATGATGTGTGTAATAAAGTGGTGAACAATGTTAATATTTCGAATGAGTCAAATATTTGGCATTCACGACTTTGTCACATTAATTTTGACTGTCTCACGCGGCTTGCAAATCTAAATTTAATCCTAAAATTTAACTTAGTCAAAGATTCTAAGTGCCAGGTGTGTGTGTGCAATCGAAGCAACCACGCAAGCCTCACAAGGCTGCTGAGGCGAGGAACTTGGAACCATTAGAACTCGTTCATTCTGATTTATACGAAATGAATGACGAATTGACTAAAGGCGGTAGACGATACTTCATGACATTTATAGATGATTGTACTAGATTTTGCTATGTGTATTTATTAAAAACTAAAGATGAAGCGTTGCATTATTTTAAAGTCTATAAAGCTGAGGTAGAAAATCAACTTGAGAAGAAAATCAAGCGTTTGCAGTCCGATCGCGGGGGGAATATTTCTCAAATGAATTTTCTGAGTTTTGCGCGGTGCATGAAATTATTCATGAGAGGATGCCATCATACTCACCATAGTCCAATGGAATTGCAGAGAGAAAGAACCGCACTCTAACTGATTTGGTTAATGCCATGTTAGAGACTGCGGGACTATCTAAGGAATGGTGGGTGAGGCTATATTGACAGCATGTCATGTCCTGAATAGAGTGCCCACAAAGAATAAAGAAATTACAACATTCGAGGAATGGGAGAAGAAGAGATTAAATCTCTCATACCTGCGAACTTGGGGTTATTTTTCAAAGGTGAATGTACCAATAAACAAAAAGCGAAAGCTTGGACCAAAGACTGTTCATTGTGTCTTTCTTGGTTATGCTATACATAGCGTGGGTTATAGATTTTTAATCATAAACTCTAGTGTTCCTGAGATGGTTGTTGATACAATCATGAAATCTAGAGACGCTATATTTTTTGAGAATGAGTTTCTCATAAAAAATGCACCTAGCACGACTAGTCATGAATTTATAATTCTCCATGAGCATGAAAATTTTACTCCGATAGAATAAACTGAGGAACCCTATATGCAAAATCCTAAGGGGGATGACACTATAGTCACAAGGAAAAGTAAGAGATAGAGGACTGCAAAGTCTTTTGGTGATAACTATATTGTGTACCTTGTGGATGATACACCAACGACCATTGAAGAAGCATATTCCTCTCCTGATGCTGACTTATGGAAAGAAGCAGTACGGAGTGAGATGGATTTTGTTATGTCTAATGGAACTTGAGAAATTGTTAATCGTCCCTATGGGTGCAAGCCTATAGGGTGCAAATGGATGTTCAAGAAAAAGCTTAGGCCTGACGGTACTATCGAGGGGTACAAGGCAAGGCTTGTGGCCAAGGGCTATACTTAAAAGGAAGGTGAGGATTTTTTGATACTTATTCACCGGTTGCCCGATTGACCACAATTCAAATTTTGCTTTCCCTGGCAGCCTCTTATGGTCTTATCGTTCATCAAATGGACGTTAAGACAGCTTTCCTAAATGGAGAGTTGGAGGAGGAGATCTATATGGATCAGCCGGATGAGTTTGTAGCAAATGGTTAAGAAGGTAAGGTGTGTAAATTATTAAAATCATTATATGGCCTAAAACAAGCTCCTAAGCAATGGCATGAGAAGTTCGACAGAACATTAACATCTGTTGGCTTTGTTGTGAATGAAGCTGACAAATGTGTGTACTATCGGTATGGTGGGGGTGAAGGAGTCATTTTGTGCTTATATGTTGATGACATACTGATCTTTGGATCCAGCCTCAAAGTGATCGAGGAGGTGAAGGAATTTTTAACTAATAATTTTGAGATGAAAGATTTGGGAGAGGCTTATGTTATTCTTAATATCAAGCTTCTGAGAGAAGGTGATGGTGGGGTAACTCTGTTACAATCCCACTATGTGGAAAAGGTACTGAGTCGCTTTGGATTTAGTGACTGTGCACCTGCTCCCACACCTTATGACCCTAGTGTGCTATTGAGG